TTGTAAGGTGAGGGTTGCTTTCCACTTATATACTATTCAATTGCCTAATCTCTAGTCGATGTGGGACTTGGGTTTTTCCCAATACACCCCCTCACGTCCAGCACTATCAGGCTTGGTACGTGGATAAATGGTGGGTGACCCTTTTTAATGATCTAGGATTGGCGGGACTTGGGTTTTTCCCAATACACCCCCTCACACCTATGAGGCATGCATCAATGGTGAGTGGCCCATTTTTAAAGTGGATCTAAATGGCTTTGATACCATGTTAGAATAGTGGATTAAGCCTAACTCAACCCTACAAAACTGGCTTGAAAGGTGAGGGTTGCTTTCCACTTATATACTATTCAATTGCCTAATCTCTAGTCGATGTGGGACTTGGGTTTTTCCCAATAATATATATATATAATTATGATAATATTGTTCTACATGAATAAATCCACCTTTGTATAATACACATAAATAGTATATTGTGGAAAGGTATTTTTAGAAATTTCTCTTTAAAGAGAATACTTTTAGATATTTTTCTTCAATGAGAGGATTTGTAGAAATTTTTTTTCAATTTTTGTCTATTTTAATTTATTATTTATCATATATATTTTTAAATTAAATTTAATTTAAATAAATTATCAAATTTAAAAAAAAAATCTTATACCACGTACAATATAAATTATTTTTTATAAATATACAATATAATTTATATATTCAAAATATTTATTTATATAAAGTTTATATAAATATAAGTTATATATTAAAGTTTATAATATTTATTTTTATATATAATTTATTATAAATTTTATTTGTATGCAATAAATATTTAATATTTGCATTAATATACTAGTAAAACTAAATTTGGCTTCACAAGTGCCATTTAAAGGGATTCATAAAAAAAATTATTTAAAGGAAATATTTAAAAGAAATAAACACTTACTTTAATATTTAGGGATAAGGAAATATCCATTGATTATTTTGATTCCTTTCTAACTTTGCTAAAATTTTATTTTTATTCTTATTTTAAAATACATTATTTACACACATTAATAAAGTCAAGATATTTCGTGTCCCTATTTATTTCAATGTTATTAGAATCAAACCAATTATTGATTCAATCAAGGTATTGCAACAACCCTGAAGAGGCTAGTAGAAAGAATACTTGTGAACCAGAAGTGGTTTGAGAATACTAGCACTAGTGAGTGAAGCTAGCGGGCCAGAAGTGGTCAAGAATACTTGGAGAACCAGAAGTGGTTAAGAATACTATTATTGAAAAGTTTGTGTGGTTCCTTGTAGATATTTAGTGGGCTAACTCCATATGTGGCTTGGTAATGCATGCTAAGGTCATAGTGGGCTTATACACAACTATACTAGTCTTAACGGTAGAACTGAACTTTCTTAGTGTAAGTAGCGACACCCGAAAAATCAGAGGAGTAATTGGTATCCCATTTTAGTTGTGGATCTAGTAAGTGCATATGGCGTGAAAGAGATCAAGGTTGACTCGATAAGGTCAAGCCTCTTAGATTTCTCTGGTGTATTAGGATATTTTTGTAGGTGAATGAGTACGATGTATTAGTTGCGGTGTGTGCTTATGATGTGGTGTGAGTTGATATTGTTCATATGCATGGTGTGAATACCTTGATGCGGGGTATATTTGTGGTGTATGTTTGGCTGACTTGGGTGTTTTGCTTTCAAACATTGTTGATGTTTTGTTGATTATCATATGATGTAAACCATAAGTTAATGATTTGATGGTTTGCTTGTTAGTGAGTAGTATAGATGTTTCATTCCTATATTAGTATATTTTTTAAATCTAACTTACCCTTACATGTTTTTCATGCGGATGAAATGCGATGATCATACTTTGCATGTGAGCATAGTAAGAATAGGTCGACAAGGGTGAGTAGTGGAGGCCATCATGAGGATATCTGTGCTTTTTGGATCTTTTGGGTTATCTTATGTGGTAGTTGTATATAGTTGTGTCTAATCAACACTTAGGATTTACTTATAGGATTTTACATTATTTTTATACTAGATGACTGTACATGTACTGTATATATTTGTAAAGTGATTTTAGTTGTTTATATTTATACATGTTATATAATGTGCATATCTAATTTATTTCGAGTATAAGTCCTTTCGTATGAATTATTTCCACCACTAATAATTGTGACCCATAAGCGTGACGCCTATGATGGGTCATTACACATTTTGATATTATTCTTACTTTTAAATTTATTAATTTACTTTTAAAATTGTACTTTTTTTAAAAAAAATATTATAGTGTTAAGTCAAACGAAGCGTATTCGCAATTCTCACCGAGGTTTTGAATATGACAAATATAATACATATTTTTATTCCTAACATGTGCATTAGTGTTTCAGATGGATAACAATAAGTTTAGGCAAAAATGAAGGACGAAGTATGATCAAGCATAATCGAATTGAACAAAACATCAGACGATAGCAAAGCTAGTATTAAGACTAAGGTTGATCCAGACCTAAATCAAATACAAGATAAGATGAATCTATCAGCTGAAGCCTGAGGGATCAGATGCAAGACCAAAACAGGCATCATATGAGATTAAGTCAAGAACGGGACAAAAGTTAGCTAAACATCAACATAGACTTGCAAATCATCAGATGAAGCATAACGAACAAGCAGACAAAGTCATCACTATCAAGATCAGACGAAGGATCAACAGTAAAATGTGTATCCAGACGTAGTGGGAAAGCAATGAAGCGCGTCTGAAGTCCACTAATCACATTGGGTGAAATCATATAAGAAACACAAAAGGATATCAAATGTGAATACAAAAAAGAAAAAGAAAAATAGGCAAGCGTGGGTTCACAAGTCAAAGCTGCGTGCGTCAGAGAAAAGACACCTATTTTTCAGAAAAAGACAGCACCTTAGCAGCTAAACTGATGAGAAAAGTACAAATATGCCTAGATCATGATTGAAGTCAGACATTGAAGTAATCAACTACACAGAAAGACTTCACGAATAGAAGCAAATATTTAATGCAAGATCAAATGCATTAAATGAAAAGATTTACATAGCCATGAAAAAACGTCCACCTGCATCGACATGAAGCTACGCTCCAACGGGAAAATTTGAATTTAAACAACAGGCAGATTTATCAAATGGCTATAAGTATCAAGGAAAAGAAGAAGAAGAAGAAGCAGAACTGAGAAGTAGAGAAAAGTAAAAATAAAATAAAAAAAAGAAAGCAAAAGAGTATAAGCTACATTTCTTCTCAAAGCATTTCTTGTATATCTGTGTAAAAACTAAGATAACTTATCTTAGTGAGTGTTGCTGATAGTCTATCCTCTCTGTGAGAGTAAATAAACACTTAGAAGCTTATTCCTATAAAAATATGGTTACGCACCTTAGTGAGTGTAGAAACTATCCTGTCCTCTCTGTGAGAGTTGCAAACATACTCAACATTTTCATTTGCTGTAAAGCCTGAAGAGGCTAGTAGAAAGAATACTTGTGAACCAGAAGTGGTTTGAGAATACTAGCACTAGTGAGTGAAGCTAGCGGGCCAGAAGTGGTCAAGAATACTTGGAGAACCAGAAGTGGTTAAGAATACTAGCGTCGACAAGTGAGGTTGACGAGCCAGAAGTGGTTGAGAATACTTGTAATCCTCGATGATTAGTGGAACCCTTCAGTTGAAGGAGACTGGACTTAGCTCAGATTGAGTGAACCAGTATAAAAATCCATGCATACCTCTTTCTATTTTTCAAACACTACTTGTCTACTTTAGGGAACCGATGTAAAATGTGTATCTTGTAGTAGTGAACAAGTCACTAGTTCAATTGATGGGTCATAAGTTGAACCACATGAACCAAAATATTATTAAATCTATAATTTATATTAATAATATAGTATAAGAAAAATTGTCATGCATGATTTATAAAGACATGCTAGTGTTGTGGTTAATTTTTATGTTGGTTAGTTTTCCATCCTGTCATATGGGAGTGGGATAAAGTGAGTAATTAGTTGGGTGTAGACATAAGAGATTTTTTCTTTAAAAATAAGATAATGCACGACTCACCGGGTTATAATGACCCAAGAGTCACCGGTTTTCTTCAAAATTATCCAAGTCAAATTGGTTTGTGTCAAATTACAACACATATTCGGTCTAATAGGGGGCTCAGACCAATTAGGTGATCGGTTCTTAAGTTAATCGACCAGTCCAAGTTGAATTTAATACCACTAATATATTTTATTAAATTAAAATATATTACGTTCCTAAAATCTTATAACTTTGACCTAGAATCCCATTAAAAAATAAAAAACATTGGAGACAATTGTGTATCAACTTTTATGAGACAAAATGAAGGCCTTGAAGTGAGATAGAATAAAAAGAGAGAGAAAGAGAGAAAGACAATTATATGAGTGTTGGAAAGTTTTTATTTGTAATAGATATGTAACACACAATTACTAAGGAGGTTAAAGACTAAAATAGTTTAAAACATAAAAGCAAAAACTTTTTATATCTATATGTATAAATAAGTGAATTTTCTTTTTTACAAATGTTTTCAAAGGGAATGTGATTCGATTAAAAATTGAGACAAAAAAACATTTGGGAGAAAATGTATACACTTTATTTATTATTATGAAAAAAAGACATTTCCTACCTTTCAATATTTAAAAAAAAATTAAAATAAACATCATGGATTGGATAACTATTGAAAATTGGTTAATGGTAATTATTAAAAAAAATCAAAATTTTTGCCCAAATGGCAAAAAAATTATATGTTGAGAAGTCGAGTATAAGATCGTTTTCTCAACGTATTTATCTAAATACCACATTTTTTTTATGTTGAGATGTTGAGCAAGAAGTCGACTTCTCAATGTCTTTTTCTATTTTTTATAATTTTTAATTTTAATTTATAAAAAATTGTTTTTAGTATATAAATATATATATATATATATATATTTAAATGAATAAAGTATAATTGTATTAAAAATATAAAATTATTAATTAGATTTAAATAATTACTATAAATAAATAAATACATGATTTTGTTTTTTTATTGAAACACAAAATACATTTTAAAAAATAATAATTGTTGAAGTTGTGGATTTTTTTTCTGAAGTGCCCACAATAACTACATCTTTTGGGTGAACATTTTCTTTGAGGTACATCTTAGTGTGTATGTGAGTAGAATTTGAGTGACCTTTGAAATTTCTTTGCATTTTAGGATCATAACTTCATTCATGTTCATTATATTTCGGCCACTCATTTTTGTCAAGCAATAATCTGAAGAAAAAAACACTATACACGCTAAAAACATTTTGTAATTTATAAACTAGAGAAAGGAATGACATGTGGTTCAAGTGAGCATGTGTACATGCAACTTTGACATGTGAACAAGGCATGTGTATCACTTGAAATTTACCACAATCACACTTTTGTGTTTGGAAGAATACCCTAAATCTCTTTGGTGGTCTTCAATTCTCGTGTGGGTTTATTGTTTTAGACACAATGAATGATTGATTTTTGTTGGTCAAATGTTTCAACTTTGTGAGAGGTGGATTTTGCCACTTTGTCATCCATGCCTTTTTTTTTTTTTTTACAATTTCTCCATCTTCATGACCAATTGAAAACATTGAATTCACTTTCATCCCACTCTTAGAAAATAATTTAACTATCTTGAAGTACATTTCTATGACCAATAATGTTATTGGTAAATTTTGAGTGCCCATAAGTACTAAATTGATGGACTCTACAAGGTTGGTTGTCATGTATTCTCAACGTTGAATGCTTCAAGCCATTATTCTTTAAGTATGTTATCAAACCAATTGGTAGAGTTTGGGTTCGAATGTCGAAAATCATTATAATAACAGAGGAACATGTTCTCTATAACATTGTGCTAGGATTTTTTTTTTCTTTAGATGAGTGATATGTGTGTATGTTTCCCTTTTTGGTTGAGTTAAGAATGTCGGTGTGACTAAAACCTTTGCCTTTTCTTCTCTTAGTTTCAAGAGGGCCTTAGTTTTGCGTGCTTGAGGATTGGATTTTATTTCTTTTGCCTAGAAATTAAGAAATTATGGGTTGGTGCGAAGCTTGGGAGGTTCGGAGCTTGTACGTTCTTCCTCCTTTTCTTTCTTTTCTTCAATTTTAGTTGCTTAGAATCAAGGTAAGGAAGCTATGACTTGATCTTGGTGGATAATTGTGTGGATTTCCATGTTGCATGTATGGTATGAAGGCTCATTTGATGCATAATTGTTCGAATGTTAAACTGATTTACAAGGAGAGACTTGGTGTTCTTAGCTTCTTTGAGATTTTTGAGGTATTTGGGGACAAATCTTGATTTCGTACCTGAATTCTTGTCATGAGTTGTTTTGTTGTTGGAATTGATGTATGCTTGTTGTTTAGATCAATTTTTATGGTTTAAATTCAAGTTTAGAGCTTGTAGGCAAGCTTGGGATAAAATAGATAGGTTTGGAAACCCCAAAATTTTGAAATAAAATAGAGACGGTCTTTTGCATAAAATGGTTAAATGAAATTGAAAATGAGAATTAAGGGTGTCTCTAGAAGTAAACAATCGAGCCATTTTGAAATGGCTGAGCGGAATTGGAGATGAGAATCATGAGTGTCTTTAAAAGAAATTCGTTGAACGATTTTGAAACAGTTGAGTGGTTTAGTGCTTTCCAAATTAGACTTTGTTGTCTTCATAAAAATTGTAGCCCTAGATGTTAGTTTTCCAATGACTTTGGAATCAGATAAAATGAAAGTCTAGAACTCAAGTTATGACCTTTTTAGTGAGTAAAAGTCAAGTTGTCAACATTAGTGAAAAATGTTGCAGTTTTTCATAATTTTTAGTATAGTAGATAATGCAATTAGAAGTTGAGGTCCTTATAAGAGTTGTAGATAACACTAGTGGAAAAAACACTTTTAAAATCGGTCATTTTTTACTTTTAAAATCGGTTCTTTGACCGATTTTAAAAAGTGAGACTTTTAACATCAGTCGCTGACCGATGTTAAAAGTGAGACTTTTAAAATCGGTCAATGCATGACCGATGTTAAAGTGGTTAATTTTTTTTAAAATATTTGACTTATTTTAGGAGGATCCCTGAACAAAACCTGCAAATTAATAAAATACCAGACAATTCATATATTTTTAATAGACCAAATTACATACAAATGACAAGAGTTGGTAAATGTCAACCATATATTTAATCAAAGTAACTTACAAATTATGATGCATCCTAAATTACAAAATGAGTAAAACTATAAACATAACTCGTAGCTAGCCAATGTTTCAATGAAAAATGTAGCCCATTGCTTCCTAATGGTGTTTATATCTTTTAGCGACAATGGTGATCGATCTATAAATATCTGTTAAGAAAATTTAGAACAATTATAAGTAACTCTTAAAACATGATAAAATGCAAACTTAAAATAAAAAATTTTAAAATTCTAAAACGTACTTCAGTCCACCCAGATACTATTTGTGAATCAACAATAGTATGCATTGCCTTCATTACATAGTATCCGCACTCATAGTTTCCTTTTTGCTTATGAGACTACAAAAAGAATATAAAAACCAATTTTAGTAGTAATGGTAATTCAAAAGAAAATACCTTAGAAAAAATATCATTACTAAAATAACTTACTTTAAGAGAGACCCAAAGCATTTTTTTCTTCAACTTTGAACCTTTAAGTATATGGTATCCTTCCATAGCCCTAATGATAAAAGGACATCATTATTATATTTTAAAATAAAATGTAATGATAAATAAAATAAAGTAGTTTTTTTAAAACAACTTACTTATCTAATAATTGTTTAAAGTCTGCAGGAGGAGGTTTGTGCATCGAACAAATGCATACAGATATATTGTCCATAGGACAAATAATCAGAAGTTGCCAATGAGCACTGCATTGAGAAACTATCAGTAATAGACAATACATTTTTTAAAAATTTATAATCAATTATATACAAATAGACTTACTTAGAAAAGTAAGGAACTAAGTAAACTTTTTTATTTGAGTCAGGCATCCAATTTTGGATGTAAGCTTGAATTTCTTCTGTCTTGTTCCCAATTTTTTGGATTAACTCGGGTTCTAAAAATCCATAAATGTGATCATTCCCTTTATCCACACTCAATTTATGGATAAATCTACAAGGTTAGAAATAAAGTTAGAAAAAAACAACAAAACATAATTAAAAAGTTTAGTCTGGAACGACCCCAAAAAAATGCCTAAAAGTTTAGTCTGGAACGGCCCTAGAACGGCCCGTGGTGCAAGCAGAACGGGCCGTTCTAGGACCGTTCCAGACTCAAAATTCGTCCAGCAACAACGAAATAAGAGACAATAGAAGACAATGTTACCTTGATGTTGTATTCTTCCGAGAAAATGATAAGCTGCACACTTTAGATTAGAGCCCGAGAGAGTAAAGAGAGGAATATATGAACTATTGAAGCCAAAGAGTAGAGAATGGAGCTAGGGGGAGAATGGGAGCGGAGATAGAAGTTTAAGTCTCTGGTGCTACTTTTAAAATCGGCTGTTCAATAACCGATTTTAAAAGTGATACTTTTAAAATTGGCTATTTGATAGCCGATTTTAAAAGTAGACTTTTAAAATCGGTCTTCAAGAGCCGATTTTAAAAGTAGCGTCAGAGACTTTTAAAATCGGACTTTTAAAATCGGTCATAACGTAACTGATTTTAAAAAAGTAATGCCATTATTTACAAAATTTCCACCGCGTCACTTTTAAAATCGGTTACCTTATAACCGATTTTAAAAGTCATTTTTGTACTAGTGTAATATTTTTTCCTTTCATATGAGATAAGGACAAGCTTGATACAAGTAGTATAACTCTTTGTGTGATATTTTATGAGAAAGTTGTCATTGTACGACAGTTGATTAAGTTGTCTATCATTGATATGCTATGTGTGATGGATGTGCTAAAGTTTGCATGGTTGGAGTTGTGGATATATAGGCATTGATATGCTATTATGATTAAGTTTTCTAGCATTGGTATGCTATGTATGATGGTGTAATTTGATCTCTATATGTTTTAACTTGGGGTAATATATATAGATGATGAATGTTGAGGTGTGGATGCCAAGAATGCTTAAGGCATGTTGGCTAACTTAGGACTTGAGAAGAGGAAATTATTTTTGAAAAACTAAAGATCCCATCTAGGGAATCTTGAAGTGGTGCTCGGTAGACCACTATTAGAAAGTCTTCTTTGAGTAGGTGTGTCTTTTAAAATGGGTTTTAAGGTGAGTTGATGTCTCCTCTAAGTTCTTAGTTAATGATTAAGTAAAGTAGAAAAGCGAGGGCTACAACCCTTAACCAAGTACTTGGAAAGGTTGTGTGGTCCCTTAAAGATAATTAGTGGGCGAATTTCACATGTACTTGATAATGCATGTCAAGGTCATGGTAAGCCTATACCTAGCTATATTATTGCTAGTGATAGAGTTAGACTTTCCTATTGTGAGTGACAAAACCCAAGAAATCAGAGGAGGGATTGTTATCCCATTTTGTTGTGATCAAGTCGACACATTGGGTGCGAAAATGATTAAGTTGATTCGGTAGGGTGAAGTCACTTTGACTGCTGATGTTGTTAGGAGATCTCCGTAAGTGAATACGTGACGACACATTAGTTAAAGTTTATACATATGATGTGTTGTTGATTGGTGTATTAATATGCATTAGATGAATATATTATTGTTTGATATATCTTTGTGTGTAGCTTTCAAACATATTGGTGTTTGTTTTCTTGGTGAATGTTGTAAACCATGAGGTGTGCTTTGGTTGGTTTACATTTTGGTGAATGGTATAGATGTTCTTTGCTATTCTAGTATGTTTTTGAAATCTAGCTTATCTTTGCCTGTTTTTTTCCATGTGGTTAGACTACAATGATCATGATTTTTATGGGAGCAATGCAAGGTTAGCCAGAGCAGACTTAAGGAGATGTTGTTATTAGGTCATTTTTGGGCAATGTAGTATTAAACTACTTTTGATGGTTCGTATAGTAGTGCTTGATCGACACTTAAGATTCTATATTGTTTTATATCGAACAATTGTACATATAACATATACTATGTCTTTATGTGATTAGTTTTGTTGCTAGTTGATGATTCCACAAAATGTAACAATTATGACAGGTCGTTACACTTTCCATCAATGTATATCTTAAGGAGTTAAGCTACATATAATGTAGTATTTGCCAATATTAGAACAAATTGCATTAAAAAATATAATTAAGATGAATTAATTACTTACTCATATTGACAATAAATTTGCGTAGATCAAAATTCTTGTATTTTTTCATGAGATTTTATGTAATATGCCGAATACAAAACACATGCAATGTTTGATCTCGCCTTCACCCACTGTCTTCTCGATTATAAGCACTTTTAATAGATTCATGTATATCTAAGATCAAATAAAGTCCACTTTAAGGTTTGACATGTCTTTTTTATTTTTTATTTTCTAAAAGAAAAACCAAACATATGTTGTTTCACTCTAAACAATGGGAAAGATTATCTCTATTATGTAGTTGTTACTGTCTTGAGCCATAACTAACAAAAGAGTCCCATTGTATAGCTAAGTTCCATCAATTTGAATAATTAGTTTGTAGTATACAAATCCGTCATGTGGACGGGAAATATATGTACTTCGAATGAATGATGGGTCTACAATATTATTGTCCTTTTTTTTTTTATCATCATCATCATTAGTGTAGTTGTTGTCTTTATATATCAACTAATAGTATTAAGACACTTTATATTTCTATATTTTATTTAATAAAAATATTTAAAAATTATTGATATTTGTTTGATTAATCATCATTATACTTAATTATCAAATATTAAGGTCTTAAATTCTAATCTTATATTTATAAAAGTAATTAATTTTTAATATTATTTTTTATTATTTAAAAATTTAAAATAAAATCATTATATATATATATAATATAATTAACTATCATATATGTTATAAATTATAAATTATACATATATCGATATAAATTATTGATTTTAGGTTTTTTTGGTTGATGTTAAGGATTGAGAGCGTGTTTGGATATACGTGAAAAACCACGTTCAACGTGGAATGTATTATATATCCAAACACGCTATGAATGCACAATTAAATTAAATCTTGCTCTAGAAAATCAAGGTATGACAGCTGCCTCTCACAGTTGTGCAATCCTGATATGGTAATATCGTTTTATTTACTTGTTTGTGTTTTTTTTGGTGGTTTTAAACCTTAAAATTTTTGATTTTGTTCATTATGAAGCTTTTTTAATCCCCTATATGAATTAGAAAATGATTATAAAATAAGAAAAAGTAGTTAATTCAAAAGTGATAAGAAAAAACACGTAAACCCGCTGAGCACAGAGCGAGCATCTCGCGAGGGCTGAGGCAGAGCGAGTGGTAATGGAGAAGAAGGAAGACGAATTACAGGAAGTGCTTCGCGCTTTGCCTTCCGACGCCGTCAAGGATTTGTTGTCTCACCAGGTCTCGTCTAAACGACTCGTTTCACTCTTTCTTTCTCACATTCACATTCTAATTCTCACATTCACATTCACAGGTATGTGCCCGCTGCATCTTGCGCGTGTTTGGGGTCCAAGGCCGCGCCTATGCCTCTCCCTCCCTCTCTTCTCTCTTCGCACAACATTCCCAAACGCAACTTTGCAGGCTTTGCTTAGGGATCCTGCAGTTCACGTATTCTGATGACACCAAAACCCTCCTTCAAAACGACAATCTCCCTCTTCTCATTGCTCAAACCGTTCAACGACAAGCCTATCACTTTCATTCCTTTTCCCTTGAAGTTTCCATCCCACCTATCGTTCTCGACAATGACAACTCTCTTCGGTAACATCTTTTCCACCTTTCATAAGTTTCTTCACTCTTTTTCTTCTTCTTTCAATCTCTCCTCATTACTTATCTGTGTAGGTCATATATGAAAACCAAATACGGGTCCCAACCTTGGTTCCAACAAAACTTGCATATTGGATGCATCTCTGCAAAGGATGCCTTAAAATTTTCTCTCGTATATCCTCTTGAAGATCTTCTGGTCAGTCATTTTTTTTCTATCGTGGCTCTGTACGAGTCGAGATGGTTATCGTTCTGTCAATTTGTTTTCCGATAACACTTTGAAGGAATCATGTTTTGCAGGAATGTAAATCAAGTATGGGCCCTTTCCGCATTCGTTTGACATTCTGTCACGCGAAAGCTTCAAAAGGGGATGAGAAGTGTTCGGATGGTGCTGAGAGTTGCAAGAGAAGAAAAATAGGCATGTCCAAGATTGTTGCTGGCCCTGTGTGTTGTATTTTCATTTGTCTTTTTATGAAGAAACTGTCATCATCTGACTGACTTGAATTTCGGCTCTTCAAATTGAACTCTGAAATTTTCTGATTGACTGTGCCTTTGAGTTTGACTGTTCCAGAATTCTTGACAAACCAATGAATTCATTAGTCTTCTTATCATGTTGCTATTAAAATGGGCTTCTCTTGCATCGTTATTAAATCTTCAGAGTTCAGATGACATTTTTGTTTGCACTGATATTTACTTTTATAAATGAATAATCTCTTCTGAAGTACAATGCTGCCATAAAAAGGATCCTTTCATGAATCCCTTGAAATTCTGTTCCATACAAAAAAAAAATTGTATGGTTTGCTATTTATCAATAGTAATTGTTGATTGATTGCTGAGATGAGAGGAGTATTCCTTGTACATTGTAGATTCTTCCAGTCATTGAGCTTCAGAATTTCTGCTCCTTTGGAATTAACATCTTATTATGTAACTATTAAAAAACTGATCTCATTAATTTTTGTTGACCTTTTAGAGTCGGTAATTTTTTTTTCTTCTTCTAGTAGACTGTCATATGATTGATATTGTTTTCCTTTGACTAGTCTTTGGCTCCGACATATGTTAAGATTGTCCAAAAGTCTGACAAAGGTATAGACACTGCCTATGATTTTTCTGTTCCTTGCATTGACCCTTTGGATTTTATTTTTTATAGGCGAGTCCAATGCAGTTGGAGAAAGGCCTACTAGCAGTTCTGTTGAAAATGATTCCTCAGACTGCTGTGAATTCTTGCTAGAAAAGGTAATTCTTGATTATTCTCCTTTTTTATTCTTAAATGTATTGTGGATTTAAATTGCTTTGCTCTCTGATTATTTCATGTTTGTCAGAATGCAGCCTCTCAAATTTATTTGTATCATAAATACTTGTTGGTTTTCATGGTGGGTTATTAATGGGAATTATGTTTTAATTTGGTTTATAATAGAAACAAAGTTATTGACTTTTTGTTCATTGTCTATTGAGAATATATATAATCTCTTGCTAACTTAGTTTTCCTTGCTTTAGGCAAATGAGCCTTGCCATCTTACTTACTTTTGCTACAGGACACCTTTCTATTTTGGTGGAAGATACCTAAAGGTAAGAATTTGTTATCCTCTCCTACTCTTCTTAATTGGACGTTTGGAATAACATTCTGAAGCCATAAAATATATCAGTTTTCTTTTGCATAGATTTTTTTTCTCCAGCAATGTTTTAAAAAATCATAAACGTTACATTTCTTTGTCCAAATGTCACTCTCATAATTTTATATCTTCATATGTACTGATGTTATATGATATGATATACGTATTGGATATAGAAACTAAGTGGATACATTTGTGTTACTTTATGCAAACTGCAAGTTTACTCTCTGCACTTTGAAATACATTGTTGAAATAATTCTCACAAAGACTGAATTCTTCATGTATGGAATATAATTTCCTTTATTTGGTCTAGATATAAGCATATAACTATAATTTGCAAAATAATGATTGACAAAGTGAATTTATCATGTGAAAATTCAAATTTATGCTGTTAATTTCATGGAAGTATTCACGGAATGTGAGTCAAACACGCTGGATTATTGATGATGAAAGAATGGGAGAAGCATCAGTCGAGGTACTGTCTATTCGGGCAAATAGATGTTGTCCTTAATGTTTCCTTTTAATGTTGATTGTGAAAGATGACAAGTAACAACAATGTGTACAATCATTGTAGGAAATAATTGGTGGAAACATCCTCCAAGCTTGTCAAGGTGATAGTTTTAAGTTTCATGCTGCAGGCAGAGAAGATATCGATGTACTAATAAATTGTGGTTTGTGTCTTTTTAAAGTTTCTTGATGAATGAACTTATCTGAAATGGAACTACTATAGGTCCGAATGTTGGGTCCAGGCAGGCCATTTATTGTTGAGGTGCAAAATGCACGACACATCCCATCTGAACTGTCTGTAAAAGATATGGAGAAAACGATAAATAGCATGGAGTTTAGTTTGAATAAATTGGTAAAGTTGTAGCTGAATTGGTGATGTTTCTATGTTTATTTATTTCACGATGACTAAATTCATAATCATGTGTTCATGTAGGTTAGGGTAAAAAATCTTAAACTTGTTGGTAGTGATGGCTGGAACCTAATGCGAGAAGGTGAAGCAGAGAAGCAGGTCTTGCATTTTGATTCCTAACTGGTTACTTTTATTTCTCTGTTCATGGTTTGCAGCTTTGATTCATCCATTGTTTTATCTATGCATACATCCTAACTTACAATCTTAAAATTGTGTAGAAACAATATGCTGCTTTGGTGTGGATTTCTCGACCAATAAAGGATGAAGATTTTCAATGTGTTTCTTCTCTCAAGGATTTGGTGAGCTTTTATGTTGTGTATTTCTTGTTATCAAACTTGTATTTTGTAAAAAATGTTTAACATACAAAAGCATCACTTGTGTTGTTTTTGATCTTTATTGCAAGTCTGCATAATTCGATTTAGGCTGAGTAGTGCTCAAAATTGTGTCTATCTACTTTTGTAATGCATGCAGATTGTAATTCTGTCATTAAAGCCTGTGATTTATCCATGTCTGTTATGACATGGCCCAAATGAAATAGTAAGAACAGAGAGAGAAAAGAGAAAACAATTCATCTCTGCCAAGGGAATGGATCCCTTCAACCAAGAAATCAGTTATTACAAATGAGTATCAAAATCTGACCCTATACAGTATCTGAGTTTCCCTTTATTTATAGTTATCCCTAGGTACAAAACGAATTCCCTTCAATTACTAATTGTCTAACTCCCTTCCTTTTCCTTCTAGTGTACACACATTAAATATATGCATGCCATGAATCCATTTCTGTGTAGTGCTTATATAATTATACTGATCTGCTATTGCATCATGTTTAGATGTAAATACTGCTACAATCGATTAAAAATAGGTCCTATTGATGTTACTAGTCAATTTGGTTAATGTTATGATTGTTGTCCAATCAATCACATACATTAGTATCAAATTTATTTTCATCTAAAAACCTGATGGAAATAATAGATCCCAAGTTTCAACTTCAACATAAGATTGAGGAAATGAAGCATGATAATTGATTTCATATTCTTGACTTCTTTGAAAGTTTGTTATAGCTTGAGCAAGGTTCTTTAATGCGAATCAACACCTACCACACAGAACCACCTAAATGTATGAGAGTATAATCAACTGCAAAATGGATAGATTAATACATACCTGAGGTTTGCAGTTAGCAGTCCCTCCCTATGGCAGAAGCCTTCCTAAATCTCATCCTCCAAAATCTTCTCCTTCCAACCTGGCCATTCTGTTATGCCCATTGTGCTCCTTCCTAATCAAGTTCTCCTTCCTCCATTAGTTTTAATTCCTTCATTGCTGTACCATATTTCAACCCACCCTCTTGCTGCCCCAACTTCCTCTCTTTTTCCTTGTATAGACTTGGGTCATCCATAATGTATCCCTTGTGTCTCTCCTTGGCGTATGCTCACAAACTCAAATAATATTTTACTGGTATTTTGCTTATAATTGCCTTTTATTTTAATTTGTAACTGTGGCAACCACAAATTTTTCCTCTTTTGAGCAGAAAGTTTTGCAGAGGACTCCAATAAGGGTGCTACATCGTCGCAGTCCTTTAGAGCGGGAAAAGATTATTCATTGGTAGGGTTCCTCCATATATTGATAGTTATATGCCATGTTCAATATCAAGGTTGTCTGCATTCAAACCAGTAACCGAAATTTCACCATCCTTTACTGTTTCTCTAATCTCAGGATGACAATGGAGACAATTGCTGGAAGTTCTCAATATTTTCTTCTGCACTTATGTACACAGGTATTTTTTTTTTTGTCTCTTGTAGAAATGGAGTTTTACAGTGATTGAATTAGTTTTATACAGAGCTAAGCATAGGTTATTGACTTTATAGCTCCATGCTCTATAGGCTTTTATATTTTACTGGCAATGAATGATGAAAACAAGGTAAAGAATATATGTCAAGCAGGTCTGATATAAGTACTTCTTTATGGGTTAAAAGATGTATTACAAAGGACAAGTAATTGGCTATCATTTAGTCTCTAGATTTTAGTGGTTAAAACTAGCGGAATGAGCTCTATTCTCCTCACGTTCCACTTCAATAATTATTAGTCACTGGATTAATTTATATTGACTTTGGGTGAAAATATGTAAAGAGAACTTCAAAATTTTATTGAATGTGAAAATGCGCTAGAGTTCTGTTACAAGAGATGTATTTATCCACTAGTTAAACTAACCAACTTTGGACATAACTAAAACTAACCGACTTGCACAACAAGCTAAAGAGTACAAGAATTGAGTCTAGGCTAGATGTTGACGGGTGTCACTTGCCAGTTGTGTGACGATGGAGTAATACACTCACCTCCCTACAAGCTGAAGGTGGATGAGCAATGAAAGAGGGCTCAAACACATGCTTGGACTGAAGAAGCAGAAACCAAGTAGGAGAGAGGGGCTTAGTAAGAGAGTCAGCCCATTGGTCTTGAGCAAGAATGTGAAGAACAAGTAACTGCTTGGCAAACACTTCACGAACAAAATAAGTAAAATTGATCTCCATGTGCATTGTGTGAACATGAAGAGCCAAATTATGTTCGATTGTCACAAAGAACCATAAGGAGAGTTTAAGGGGCACCTAACTCCTTCAAAGAGTTTGGACCCATAATAGGTTCGCAATAACTTGAGCAACAACACTGCAACATTCTGCCTCAATGTTGTATCAAGCAACATGTTGCTTGCAAGACCACCAAGATATCAATTTTGAACCAAAGTAAATGACAGCCCTTGAAGTTGGTTGGCAATCATTAGGGTCTGTGACCTAGTAAACATCACAAAAGGCATTGAGGGACAATGGCTGATGCTGAGAGGCTGGGATGAAGAGACACTATAGGGACCCTTTCAAATAGCAAAGAATACATCTTGATTGCAATCCAATGAGATTCTAAAAGTTGTGCCGTGAATTGGAAGACCTTGTTGATAGTAAAGCTTAGCTCAGGTCAAGTAATTGTAACATACACTTGAAACCAAAGATATGACATAAAAAACGTGTTTCTTATTCGATGATTTTGTACAAAGGGTATATGAATATATATAGATACAAGATAGGCTAAAAATGGAAGAATTAATCAAAATATAGAGATGTGATCCTATGGGATACTTATTTTCAAAATTACATCAAGTTTCCTACTTTCCTAGAAATAGGATATCATAGTGAATATTAATCATATCTCTTAAATTTGCATCAGATCTTAATTTAATTGTGTCATGTTTCAACACTCCCTCTCAAGTTAGAGCATACAAATTGTATGCATTGAGCTTGTCACATATGTAAGTAATCCTTGGCCCATGAAGAGACTTTGTAAAAATGCCTGCTAGTTCATTATTGCGAAGAAATAAGGTAACAATTTCACCAGACATGACCTTCTCACAAATGTGATGACAATCAATCTCAATGTTTTGTTCACTCGTGAAAGACGGGATTGGAGGCAATTGCAAGGCTGCTTGGTTGTCCCAAATGAGGCTTAGAGCACCTACTTTACAAAAGTGCAACTCTTGGACAAGGTGTTTGATCCATACAAGCTCACATGTAGTACCAACCATAGCTTGATATTGGACCTCTGCACTAGATTTGGTAACAACATTTTGCTTTGTACATTTTGATTAGGTAGCTTCTTGGGTTTGAAAAGGACTCTCTCCTTGATTTGGTAGCAAATTAACATTCAGATCCATAGGAGTGTCAATAGGCTTGCAATTCAGTATGTGAGTTTCTTCTAGAGTATCCAAAACATTTTCTCTAGCAAATAGCAATTCCTGTCTTTGATTGAGCTACCTCAATCCCTAGGAAGTATCATAGTCAGCCTAGAATCCTGGGTTTGAAAATGGTGAACTGAGTGTTGTTTTAGTTCTGTATTGCCATCATGATCATACCAATAATGACTATATTATCCACATAGAAAACCAAATAAATGAATTCTTAGAGGAGCATTTGTAAAATGCAGAATGGTTAGCTTCACGTTGGATCATGCCATATTGCTGCACAACACTACTGAATTGCCTAAACCATGCTTGAGGGAATTGTTCAAGTCCATAAAAGGCTTTGTGAAGACGACACACATATCCATGACACTCTCTTTTGAGCAACAAAACCAGGTGGTTGCTCCATATATATACTTCATCCAAATTGCCATGAAGAAAAACATTCTTAATGTCTAACTGACATAATGGCCGTTGTCGCATGGTTGCCATAGAAAGTAGACGAATATAGGCTATTTTAGCCAAAGCAGAGAAAGTGTCACTATAATCAAGGGCAGACACCTTAGTGTAGCCTTTAGCTACCAAGTGAGCTTTTAGCTTGTCAATTTTCTCATCCAAACCAATTTTAACGGTGTAGACCTGACGACACCCAACAATGGACTTTCCAGGAGGAGGAAGCACAATAGTCCATGTCTGAGTAGATTCTAATGTTGTCATCAAATCAATCATGGCTTGTCTCCAACCTGAATGATAAAGAGCTTCCTGCGGAGACTTGTGAATAGTGATAGAAGAGAGGGCAGAGGCAAAAGGATAGTGCAAAGCGAATAAACAGTGATAGCTAAGGATATTATAAGTAGGATGAGGATTGAGACTAGAACTTATACCTTTGCAGAGAGCAATGGGAAGATCATTTGAGGACATGGGAGGATCCAAAGTAGAAGTGACTGGTACAAGAGATGAGTCACCTAAATTACCTGAATTGTCTGTTGGTGGTGGGTTGGTAGGAGCAAGATGCGGTTGACACTTATAAGTTTGCAGTGACTGAGGATTAGTATTTAGGAGGCTCTAATGAAGATGTGGTTGGCTGATTGAGAGCAGGCATGGACTGAGTGACACGAGTTAGGCTAGGAATAGGTAGTACTTGAGAAATATCCTCTGATTCCAAGGGTGATGCAAAGAAGGGTGTGTCCTCAAAGAATGTAGTGCTAGTTGACATATAGAAACGATTCTTAGAGGGACAGTAGCACTGATATCCTTTTTGAACCCTTGAATAACCAAGGAAAACAGACATAGCTGAACAAGCAACTAATTTCAAACCTGGAAGTTCTATCATGACTTGATGCAGAAATATCCTTCATTCCATCCTTGAGGTCAAGGATTTTTCCAAGGGAGAGGCATTGATATGAAATAAAATAAGTGTATATGTGGCAAAAAAGGTTAGTTAGTAAGTTGTTAGTTACTTATAACTAACTAACTAGGGCAGAAGGAAATATATACACATTTTTATGTAATACTCTGATTTTTGTACAAGAAATCGATTCGATCCTATTCTCTCTATTCTCTATTCTCTTTATTCTTTCTGTTCTTGGATAATTCAATCCTAGAACTAGAATTTTCGTAACAGCTCCATTGTCCTGTTGTCATCCATAGATGCAATGATGTTTAATGATGAAGGCTTGCCTAGAAAATGGTCCTCCCCACCAGAGTGTTGTTCTTGATTATTGAAACTTCTTTATTTTCGTTTTCTAACTTCAAGAATTGCAACAGGTTACCATTACACCTTAGACTGCTACCCTTCATGTTAATTCTCTGTTCTATGCTTCCAACAAAGGTGGGAAACTCCACTTCTTTTTCCCAAGAATGCACTAGGTCACCTCTGCAATCTGACTCACTGCCTTTTGGTATTTTCTGCATTCTTCTTGCTTCAAGAATCTTTTGATCAATGATGTGGAGAATGACTCCAGATCAGAATCTGGGTTCTTTTGGCTCCAACAGTAGAACCACCGCATTGTGACTCCTTCCATGCTCATGAAAGCATATTGCAACTTATGGAAAGAATGAATTTCTTGCACTTCAAAGAATTTCTCAGCCTTAGCGATCCACCCCAATGGGTCTGTACCCACAAAGACTGGCAACTTCCCCTTGGCCCAAATATGCGCTTACTCCATCTCTAGTAACACTGGCTCTCCCTCGAAGATCCGGCCGGTCAGACCAGTTGTTAGAAACCAAGAATTAGGAAAGAGAAAGAAAAGAAAGATTTTATTGAATATGTTGAAAAGAACAAAAAATAGGAGAGAAATATCTCCTCCAGGGGTTTCCCCTTCACAAAGGATTTCTCCTTTCACAAAGAGCTAATGCTCAATTTACATAAATGTGAACAAATCTGCATCCTCCCCTATACCAAGTTACCTTCTATTTATAGATGTGATGGGCTAGCCCATGATATCTTTCTAACTAATAACTATTCTAATTCCCTTTATTCTATATCCTAACAGAATAACATCATAAAGTTGCTGAATATCATTAGAACAGACACTTGGCTTTCTCCCAAATATCATAACATATTGTATATGATCTGTAATGAACCAACAAGGAAGGCTGAATGGAGTTTCATAAAAAGAGAGACCTGTTGATAGTCCACTTGCTCCCAATCATCACTCGGCGGAGTATCAATATCGGGAGATTTCTTAGTGAGATAATCTGAGAGCTTTTGTTCAAGAAACCGGATGTTGACAGTAGTGGACCAATTCAAATAATTCTTTCCATTAAGTCTCTCTGATGATATACAAGAATTTCTGGAGAAGGTGTCAGACAAAATTCTTGCTAGAATTCATCCTGAATAGCAACTAAGATCCAGAAAGGAGAACTGAGCCAAACAAGTGCAGAACAGGGGCTGAGGCACCAGAAACAAGAAGACCCACTGACTAAACAGGGCCAAAACAGGGACTGAGAGGCCAACAAACTGTTCTGGGAAAGCAGCAAGGTGAATGAACTTTCAGAAGTGTGAATTTCACGCGCTGTTGGGACTTGGTCAGTTCAAGCAACCTACCTCTGAA